TTTTTTTTTTTTTTTTGCTCGAAAAAAAAATAGATGCATGAGTAGGCACTTGTCAAACCTCTGCTGGCTCCAATTGACCAAAGTTTTCTCGTTTAGTTTGAACGGTAATGTTGAACTAGGAGCTTGCGGTACGTCATAGGGGAAACTTTCGACAAAATTTAGAAATTGAATATTTTGTATCTATAGAAATAATATGACACAATGGTGAATCAAGATCATGTATTCAAGTTGGGACAAGATTTTGTAAGTTGAGTTGAATTATGACATGCCTATCCATTTATTTAATAAATTTGTCGCAACAAAATGAATGCATGGCTAAAATGGGGTTTTTGGAAGTGAACTCTAAATTAGATCTTTGTATGGATCTCGAATTTTATAGGTAAGAATCTAATGAGCTGGGTATTGTTCTAAATGTTGTGCACTACATGATGGACTAACTTACTGCCATGAGAGCATCTGCAAACTTACCTTCAAAGCAGAATGGCTCCGTTTCTGACCTCTTCACACCTAGAAATATGTCAGTCACTGCTATTGCATGAGGACAACTGGAAAAAAAAAATTGATGCTTGATTTCTTAGAATCCACATAATATTTCTGACACTGATGCTTGATTTGTTCTCGAAAATGTTTTGACAGAAACTTCATTTGCTATATGAAAAAAGATATGGACATGAAGTGGATGAAGACCTCGTATATGTTGTTAATGTGGAACGGGTACTTCAGATTGAAGATTTTGCAGAGGTGTGTTGGTTCATCTGTAGTTGATCTGTTGACGCCCTAAGTTTTGACATAGCAGGAGTCTGCTTCATACCTATTGATGACTTTTATTATTGTACTGATAATGATTTAGAGAATATTTAAGAATTACCTTCTTGAGTGCTGTAATTTTATGAATTATTTCAGGATGGTGTATGGATCACTTCATCAGATTACAAATCGGCAAAACCTGATCCACTGCGAGATTTTGCAGAGAACATCGTTAATGAGATAAATGCTCACAACATCGAAGATGTTCATCGCTTTTGCAACATTTATGCGAATTTGGATTTTCCGGTTTGCACCTAATACCCTATTGTTTTTAATGATTTTGTATTTTCATCACTAGTTTTAGTTTCTTGCCAGAGAATGTGGGTTGGACTCACAAGGCCAAATAATAAATACATAAATTATGCATATAAATACTGACCTGATGAGAGAATTAATGCACTCTGATTCTTCCATGGTCACACAGGACATGAAAGGCTGCAATTTCATTGTTGACTTAGAGAAACATGAGCTTTGTCAATCTTCTGCCTCAGTGATTTTATTTCCATCTACCGTTCAAGGAGAGCTTTGAAATGACATATGTTATATCTCTTATCACCCAATAAACATCAAAAAAGAAAAAGAAAACGAATGGTTGAATCATTCAGACAAGTGGATTTTACAAGATTTCTGACTTGTTTCTGACATTGCTTGCTTCCCCCATGTCTGATTTAGGGTGGAAGTTGTGCCATATGAACTTTTATAGAAGCTCCTATTGACAACATTGTTTTTGAGTGTTGCATTTGAAACTTTTCAGATTCCCTATGCGGCTGATAGAGGAGTTCCTGATATTATAAAGGGCTAATTAGATGTTGTTCGTCCTTTTTTTTGGCACGAGTTTGTTGACGTAAGTTACTAGTGGGAGGGTCAGTCGTTTCCTTCTTTCACTATTAAGTGATCTAAACACTTTTTTGGTTATTGATTGCACTAGACTAGAAAGGACAACAAATGCACAACTTCCACCCACATACAAGAAAAAAAAAATTATGCCAACTTCCAAGTGTAAAACTAAGCAACTGTCTTCGGATGTTTCCATTGGGATCTTGATATTATTTGGTGTGTGGTTTATTAGTTAAAAATTAGATATAACCAGTACAATGGAGTGGCACTTGAGTCTGAAACTGCGATATTAAAATGTGGGTTTAGCTACCGAGTCAAGACACTGATTGTTATGTTTCAACACGGGGTCTGTGACACCCTGAGGAACGATAAAACAGTCGTGTCTGGGGAGACCAATTTAAAATTTGGACTAGATTATGTTTCTGTTAGCTTTTCCACTGGGTATTGTTTGTTTCTTCAGGTATTGGATGCCAAGCTGGTTTGGGTGGATCGGTTAGGCTTTGACATGCGTCTAAGGTCTCCAGAAAATGGTGTCTTTGAAGTCCGAATTCCTTTCCCCAGAGAAGTAACAGACGAGAAGGGTGCAAAATCATCCTTCAATTGTATGTCTCAACTTGCTTGGGAAGTGGAAAAGAATTACTCTGTCCCAGATTTCAAAAAGGTGAAGCAATTGAAGAAGATCTCATCCGAAGGACTTTGAGTGGAAACTGGACCTTCTTATATTTTTGTTTCACACGCCTCATCGTGGTCTCCCTCCTCATCTGCCCCTCTGTATTCGAAACGGGAAAATTTTGTTACATGAATAGCTTTAATGATATTCAGTTTTCTCATTAGAGATTATAAATTTTTATGTTGCCAAGTATTTGGAGGTTAGTCAATGTATTTCTTGGTTGAGTTGATATTGCATTAGACAGAGGCTTTTGTATATGCTAACCAGTTGATGTTCAACACTTCACCAACCCCATGAAATTTGAAAACCTCGGGATAAAGACAAGTACAAAACATAGAGAAAGACAGAAGGGAGATTCTGAAAATCTGAAAGCACACCAACTACCCTTTTTAGGTCTGGAAGGCACCCGCCTAAAATATTCATTATAGCCAACAGAAATTGGAGTAATATCCTTTCTAATATATATATTTTTTTCAATTCTCTTCTTGGTACATTTTTTGTCATACATTCTAGTGGGATTTTATTGTATACAAATGGGTCTCTCTCTCACTCATTAATGGTAGATGATGTGTCTATAAAGAAATTGAAGAAAAAGTATATTGAACACCACTGTAATTTTAAAAAACAATTGGAAGTAAGTATAATTTTAAAAAATTTAGAATTTATTAGATATTTATCCCTATTAAAAAGTTTTTAAAATTTTTTTGGGTAGTTATGTATTTTGACAAACATAAAGGTTTTTAGTAATGAATATAGTGAAAAATCGATTGATGAAAATCAAATAGGAGATTAATGGATGAACGATTGTTTGGTTGCATATGTTGAGAAAAAGATTCTCAATACCATTGATAATGAAATTATCGTACAACGCTTCCAAAATATAAAAATTTGTCGAGAACAAATGTGAAAATATATAGGATATTCGACAATTTGTATACTCAATATATAAGAACCCAATTTTTTGGTTCAAAAAATTTATGTCCATAGATCAAATTTATAAGAATAGATAGATTTATAGTGAGTGTTTTTTTTTGTTGACTCCTTTGATATGTCGCTTATGTAAATGAGTTAGAGCATCTTCAACAACATTATCTAAAATAACTGTTTAAAATATATTTAAATATTATATTATCTACTTTAGTTAATCTCTTTTTTAAATTCACTCCAACAACACTATTTATTTTAGTTATCACTTCAACTATCTTTAACTAACTTTCAATAATAAAATTTAAAAAATAATAATTCAACTATACATTGTATAAATTTAATCAATTATGGGCTATAAAAATAAATATCATAAAAGATGGGTTACAAGAATAAATATCATAAAATATTGGGAGGCTTTGCTGAATTTGTTTGGGGGTTTGCTGGATTTTGGATTGTTTCTTGATCTTCATCTTCATCGTCTGAATCAGTCCAACAGGCACATCTTGGTGATTGCTCTCAGCGTCTTCATCCTTTGTGATCACTTCAAGCAAAGACATTAAATCAAAAAATAGTTAAAACAAGCTGAGGCCGAAGTTTTACAAGAAAAGGGTAGGAAACCTAAAGAATACCAAACCCATTACATACACGCATACAACGAGAGGCAGCATATGTACCTGAAGCAGGAAATCGATGTAGCAAATCTGAAGCAACAAATCGATGTAGCAGATCTGAAGCTTTGAAGCAAATCTGAGAGAGGCAGCAATTCGATGGTCTGAACAAATCTGAGAGAGGCAGAGAGAGGCGATGGTCTCAGCAAATCGATGGCAGAGAGAGGCGAGAGTCTGGCGCGAGGGAGTGTTGAAACAAAGTTTGAATTGAAACAGAGTTTGAACTAGTGCAAAACTGAAGTTGGGAGCAAACTCACTTATCTATTGAATATCAGACTTGGCTATATAAATAGCCTTACAAAAACAGGAATCAAGGAAAAATAACAACCACGTCTAACAAATATCTAAAGACGTGGAGAAACTAAGTCAACAGCTAATAAGTAGGAACTACTTATTAACTAAGCAAGCAACAAACTCCTATTGACCAGGACTCAACCCAACAATTCCTCCCTTAAACTGAATTCACAGACATTCAGTTTATAACAGACTCTGAGCACATCCCCAACAGTTCACGCATCTTCAAGAAAACATCAAGCTTGAGTGGTTTAGTCATTACATCAGCTACCTGATCCTGTGTGCCACAGTGTATTAGCTCCACCGTGCCTGCCTTTGCGAGCTCTCGAAGGAAATGAAATCTCACATCTATATGCTTGCTACGACCATGCATCACTGGATTTTTAGACAATTTAATTGCTGAACTATTATCACAATGAATCATAGTAGCTTTATCCTGAGCTTGACCTATCTTCTCCAATACCCTTGCTAACCATACGGCCTGACATGCACAAGATGCAGCAGCAATAAATTCTGACTCAGTGGTAGATAAACTAACCACAGGTTGTTTTCTAGAGGACCATGATATTGCCGCTGAACTCAACATAAAAACATAGCCAGATGTACTCTTACGGTCATCCAAATCCCCAGCATAATCACTATCTGTGTAAGCCACAAGATTATTGTGTCCTCCCTTCCTATAAAAAATCCCGAAGTCAGTTGTACCCTTCAAATATCTCAGTACTCGCTTTGCTGCTTGCAAATGGGATTCTGTAGGATTCTCCATGTAGCGACTAAGAAGATTTACTACAAACATTATGTCAGGACGAGTGGCTGTGAGGTAGAAAAGACAACCCAGAACTTGTTTATAGTAGGTCTTGTCCACCTTCACACCATCAGCATCTTTTGTCAATCTACACCCAGGAACAATTGGAGTCTGTACAGAATTACTTTGTTCCATACCAAAACGTGCCAGCAACTCCAAAGCATACTTTTTCTGACAGATAAAAATACCATCAGATTGTTGCAAGATTTCCAAACCAAGAAAATACCTCATCTTACCAAGATCTGTCATGTCAAATGCTTGCTTCATAGAAGTTTTAAATTGAGTAATCATAGCATCATCATTACCAGTGCAAATCAGGTCATCCACATATAAACTGACAATTAATACTTTTCCCCCTATGCTGGCTTTGATGAACAAAGTATGCTCATAACCACACTTCTCAAACCCTTCCTTCATAAAATAAGCTTCAATCCGACTGTACCAAGCACGTGGTGCTTGCCTAAGCCCATAGAGAGCCTTATACAACTTGTACACCTTCTGCTCATGCCCCTTTTGCACATAACCACATGGCTGTTCTACAAAGACTTCTTCATTCAATTCTCCATGCAAGAAAGCCGACTTGACATCTAATTGGTAGATATTCCATCCTCGTTGAGCTGCATGTGCTACCACCAAACGGATTGTTTCCATTCGTGCCACTGGAGCAAACACTTCAGTATAGTCCACTCCATATTGTTGGGTATATCCCTTGGCGACAAGTCGTGCCTTGAATTTGTCCACTTCGCCCTTTTCATTGAATTTTGTCTTATAAATCCACTTCACTCCCACTGTCTTTCCTCCCTCTGGTAAGTTTATCAGTTCCCATGTGCCATTTCTGTTTATTGCTTCCATTTCAGCATCCATTGCCCTCCTCCATTTCTCACTCTTCACGGCATCTTCAAAATACAAAGGATCAGTAGTTGTAATCATCATGGCGAAATTGTCCTCATTAGTTGCATTAGAAAGTTCTTCACCAGTAACATAATCTTTCATCCACAATGGGGCCCGTCTAGTCCTCCTTTCATGAGTGTGGAACGGCAACATATCAGCCAAAGCTGCTGATTCTGTATCTTCTTCTTCTTCAGCTTCTATATCAGCTGCAGAAACAACTTCGCTCCTTTCAGTAGTAGCATGATTATCACCATTTTCAGCCCCATTTTCTGCAGCATTTTCAACACCAATTTCTTCCTCATGATCTCCGCAATCCAGATTACACTCAATAGAGGTGGCAAAGGTCTGATCCCAATCCCAGGTTTTATCTTCTTCAAAGACAACATCCCGACTGATAATTATCCGTTGTGAAAGTGGATCAAAGAGTCGGTAAGCCTTGGATTCGTCACTAACTCCCAACAGAACACAACTCACACTTTTATCATCCAATTTTGATCTTTTGCAGTCAGGTACATGGACATGAGAGATACTACCGAACACTTTGAAATATCCCACTGAAGGCTTGATGTCACTCCAAGCCTCTTCTGGAGTTTGATTTTTCACCGCCAAAGTTGGACTCCGATTCAAGACATGCACTGCCCAATTAACAGCTTCAGGCCAGAAGGTTTTGGGCATTTTCTTCTCTGAGAGCATACTCCGAACCATATTCATGATGGTTCTATTCTTACGTTCTGCAACACCGTTTTGCTGTGGCGTGTAGGCAGCTGTCAATTGCCTTCGTATGCCATGTTTATCACAAAAGGTATTGAACTCTTGCGATGTAAATTCCCCACCTCGATCAGTGCGTAAAACTTGAATGCAAGAATTGGTTTCCTTCTCAACATGTACTTTAAACATTTTGAAAAAGGCAAGAGCTTCTGATTTCTCTATCAAAAAATAAACCCATGTTTTTCTACTATAGTCATCAGTAAAGGTGAGCAAATACCTCTTCTTGCTGTTCGAGATGGGTGTGATGGGTCCGCAAATGTCTGCGTGTACTAATTCCAGAATTTTTGAAGCTCTCCAAGTGCTTTGTCGTGGAAAGGAGTCCCTTTGTTGCTTCCCTACTAAACAATCAGTGCATAGCATTGAAGGAGACTTTAGCTGGGGTAAACCATCAACCATTTGCTTCTGTTGAAGAGTCTGTAAACCTTTAAAGCTTAGGTGTCCATAACGACGGTGCCAAAGCTGTGCCATATCTTCAGTAATGGTGCTGAAACAAGTAGACACTGCCTTTTGAGCCATGGCATGCAAAATAAACATACGATTGGAAGACATCGTTATCTCCATGATTAAGCCTTTCTTTGGATGAAAAACTTTGCACTTGCCATGTTGAATCAAAATGGCAAGGCCCTTTTCTTGCAACTGCCCAATACTCAGTAAGTTTGTTCTCAAATCTGGCACATAAAATACATCAGTAATAATCTGTATCATCCCATTCACCTCTAACCGTATGTTACCTTTGCCAAGGACAGCTAGACTGGAGTTGTTACCAAGCTTCACATTATCTTTGAAACTACTATCAAAATTAGCAAAATATTCCTTTTTCCCACTCATATGATTGCTACATCCTGAATCGAGAAACCAGAGATCATCCCCATGGGCCTTAGTCACCTCTACATATGCCATAAGTAGTAGGTGTTCTTGAGTTTCTGCATAGTTGGCTGCCTTCTCTGTGCTAGGACATTCCCATTGAAAATGCCCCAATTTGTGACATTTATAGCACTCCACTGTGGCCTTGTCAAAGTTCTGTCTGCCGCGCCCTCTTCCTCTTCCTCTCATACCTCCACGTCCTTGACTCCGGCCTCCATGAGTGATTTGCAAAGCTTGTTCTTCTTCATTATGGGAACTCATGCGCTGCTCATGCACAAGTAAGCTGCTTTGCAACTCATCAATAGTTAAGGTATCTATGTCTTTAGATTCCTCAATAGAACACACCACATAATTAAATGTAGGAGTCATGGACCTCAATATTTTTTCAACAACAGCAACGTTTACCTCACCATTTGCTTTCATCTTATTGGCGATGGTAAGTGTACGACCGAAATATTCATTCACAGATTCTCCAAGCTTCATGTGGAGAAGCTCAAACTCCTTCCGTAGAGCTTGCAATTGAGCACGCTTAACACGAGTCGTGCCTTGATATTTCAGTTTCATAGAATCTCATATGTTCTTTGCGGAATCCTTGTTGAGAATGGTTTCCAGCACCGAACGGTCCAAAGCTTGAAAGAGATAATTTTTGGCTTTTAAATCTTTCAACTTTTGATCCTCAATGTGCTTCTTCTCAGTTTCCGTGAGAACACTACCCTCTCCTGCTGCGGCAGGAATTCCATGCTCCACCAAGTGCCAGTATTCCTTAGACTTCAAAAAGTTTTCCATGAGCATTGACCAATGGTCATAATGCCCATCAAACTTAGGAACTGCTGGCTGCACAAAGGAACTCTCAGACATGATGACAACACTAGTAAAAGGAGTGGCTCTGATACCAAATGTTGAAACAAAGTTTGAATTGAAACAGAGTTTGAACTAGTGCAAAACTGAAGTTGGGAGCAAACTCAATTATCTATTGAATATCAGACTTGGCTATATAAATAGCCTTACAAAAACAGGAATCAAGGAAAAATAACAACCACGTCTAACAAATATCTAAAGACGTGGAGAAACTAAGTCAACAGCTAATAAGTAGGAACTACTTATTAACTAAGCAAGCAACAAACTCCTATTGACCAGGACTCAACCCAACAGGGAGATGTGGGCCAACTAGATGTATCGAGCGAAAAACGGACAATGGGAAATAGATAGTCAGATAACTAGCTAAGGGGAGAAGTTACCGATGCTCTAATCCTTTAATTGACATTCTATTAATTAAAATATACTTTTTTGAAAATTTAATATTAATGTGATCTAGTTGGCCACTATGGCTCCGTCCCAGTTGGGGAAGGTCTAGATCCACAGAAATCTAGAACACTTTCTATTGCAGTAATTTCCTGTTATTATTGTTCTTTATTGAACCCGCAGATCGGATAAAAAATAAAAAGTAGATCACAGTTTTACCAGATTCATTTGGCAGTTCAACTACCTTAACTCCTACTGTCAAAATTAAAAGAACCACACAGAAGGGATGAAGATTTTCTACTTTTGACTGATATTCCTGACCTACACAAAGCTCTTTTGAGAGAGAATCAATGATATGGTAGTTGAAACATCTCAACCAAGGGAGGTTCTCTTTTTCAGGGTTGGACCACCATATTTCCAAAATCTAACAGTGGATGCAGGCCCCCATTCAGAAGGGAAGTGGCCGCCGGAGGAGGGAAGGAGATCAGTGATCATTACCTTGGTTAAAAGAGCATTTATATAGAGTTGCACATGATTCTATTAAGTAATATACAAACTACCTTAGTGATACTCTGTAGCTACATGCAGGAGTGATGATGTGATACATTTCCTATAGGGCATTGTTGCGGAAACTTGACATTCACTGAAGATGACAGGGAAGTCTCACTTTTCTGAGAAACCAACCACCATAATTGGCCATCATCTAGGCATAAATACACAATTAAAGTGAAAGTTTATGTAAGAGCTGCAATTTTGTGAAATCATGCAGCAGCAGGAGTGGAGGAGAAGTGATTGTAGACAACATCTTTTATCTTACCAATCAAATGTGTGCACTTAGTGCTACCATACTTCCCTAGCTTTGGCTGAAACAGAGAGCTCAGCATATTCTCCAAGCTTTCTGCAGAATATTTCACACACTTGCTTGGACTTCCCCCTTGTTCCATCAAATGCATGTAATTCTGCATGTAGCTCTTATAGAGGGGGACTATAATCTGCACTACAAGTTGGCATGTCTTCCATCTTAAACCTTTATCAGACAAAACCCAGTTAGATTGCTTCTTATACATGTCATCAAAGACCTCATTGAATGCTTTGAGCCTCTTCTTCACTAGATCACGAGCAATCGCTCTCCCACTGGAGAATAGGATCAGACCCTCTTCACTTAAAAGAGCCGGGAGTTTCCCCCAACTCTCTCTCAAGTAGAGTGCTGCATAATATTCAACGTACTCTTCGTGTCCTCTGAACCAAGAATCTCCCAATAAATCACCCAGTTTTGTACCCTTCAGGTTCTTGCAGAAGTACCAACGATTATTCATCATGAATAGGTAGGACAGGGTGGAGTCCTCGTATGTATTTGCCCATTTCTCCAAGTTGAGCTCAAGTGCCCTGATGATTTTATAGACCTCTTCTGAAAGAAGACCCTCTTCATATTTCTCATGGTTCCAACCTCTATGAATCTCCAGAACTTGGATCAAGGTTGATCTATAATCGTCCTCGAGCAGCTGATTGCAGTAATCAGTGACAAAGCTTACAAGCCTTGGAATACTGCCATCCGAAGGAGGACTAGAATGGCGTTGCAGCTCAACCTGAGAAGAGAGTTCCCAGAAAATCTCAGATGCCCCGTTAACAATCTTCTTGATGAGATCTCTTGTCTGATTTTGGATTTCAATACAGGCTTTCCCACCAAATAGTCTGTTAAAATCCAATCTGAGTTTGTTTAAAGCTGTGAAAATGTCCAATAGCTTGAAGAGCTTGACTGCTTCCTTCTTACATTTGGTGACTGTGCTCCCAAATCTAATGAAATTCTGCATTCCAGATTCCACAGCAATCTTTGCAAATGAGTCCCTCGAAACATCCGATCCAAAGTTCTGGAATACATCATTGCAAAGCCTGTACTCCAGCTCAAGTAAATGTTTCACAGCAAATTCCAAATGCTTCCCCCACTGATCTATGTAGCCCTCTATGGTTTGTACACTGTCAAATTCTGATATTGACATCTCAAGGTAATCCAAGTCAAGAGCTTGTAAAGTTGTTTGAGCATTCAAGCTCCTTATTTCAACATAAATGGATATGCATTTTTCAAGCCGATTATTACCAGTTAACCTCTCAATAATGGCTTGCAGCTTGCAAATAACAGGCAGTGGCAAAAGTAACGGATCAGTGCAGGTTTCATCAGCCAGGGACGATCCTGTGGAAGCCATTGATACCGGAAAACTGTTCTCTGCCAAGAGACGCCTGAATTCATTTTCCAGCTTGTTGAAGGTGGAATTCAGAAGCCCTCCATTGAAACGAGAATGTTCCTCAGTTGCCTTCAACTCCTGAAGTATTCTCAAACTCTTCTTCACATTCAAAATATACCAATCTTCAGAGACTGCTTTGTCTTCCAGGAATTGTTCCACATCTTCCAGCCACAGAATTACTAGTTGGCAATTATCAGTAAGAAACTTCAGTGCTTCTTCAAGCCGTTTGACATTGGAGAGGTAACCAAATAAATTGGAACATGGGTCGGCTGAGACCAAGTTCTCAAGCTCACGGACTGCATCAAACACCTTCAAAACAGCAGCAGCAGGGCCAACAACGCGATCAATATGAGTTCTGATCGAGCAAACATCACATTTACGCGCTATATCTTTGATTGCAGCCTCCAATGATGGCAATGTCTGGATGGTCATCTCCAATTTAGGGCCAGATTTTCTAATTTCAAAAGCTATATTTCTAGATTTCTCTAAGCTACTCCTCAGAACTTCCCTAGCAGCTACAAGATTGTCAATGCCCTTTAACTCAGCCATTGCCAGATAAACCTTAAGACCCCAGAATTTCCCAAACTGCTGAATTAACTGAAAACTGAGTTTTATACTTTCCTGAATTCAACACAGATCAAATCAAAGATTCTTGAGTTTGCTTTTTGCTTGGCAAAATACTACCGTTTTCTCCACCAAACTCACCAACTCAAGTGAAACCAATCTACCAGATTCAAACCAAACTTCACCTCCAAAACAAGAATGTTAGAAATTCCAAACCACCCAACAGTTAGATTTCTTGACTTAATGTCTCACCTTTTCTCACTCATCTAATTACTCTCCCTCTCCTCCCCACATTCCTTCTTTTCTAAAATTAAGTAACCCAGGTTCAAGGCAGTGGCAGCCTATGAGAACCTCGCATCCATCATCAATGTCTTCGAACCCACACTTGGAAACCCCTTCGTTGAATAATAAAATTAAGCAACAAGAAATAAAATCCTGAAACTCCACCCACGAATGAGACAAGCATCATCATTTTCCTTTACGTCTACAAATCCTGAGACTGAAGATTTTGAAAGCTACGATTCATGGTAGTTTGGAGATTCTTAAAGGATGATTTTCAACTATTCTTGAGCTGAATTTGGAATCAGCAAGAGTCTCTGAAACAGCAATCTCACAATCGTCAATGTCTCCTTCGGATTTTTGAAAAAGTCTAGCAAGGCAAGCCCACAGAGTTTCCCAAAATTTTGGGAGCGATGGCCCCTTACCATCGATCATTGGTTGAGGCAGGAAGGTGTCCACCCGACGAGTAAATATTGGTCTTAACCGTTACACGGTTACACCGATGCTTGACATCCAATAAGAAAAGAAAATTGGAAATACTATACATAAGCCATATTTATAATCTAAATTTGCATTCTAAATGAACGGAATGAGTAGGTTTAATCAATTTTTTTAAATAGGAATTACTGATCTAATGATTCTTATTGATTTAGAATGTAAATTTAGATTGCAAATTTAAATTACATAATATTGCTCAAAGAAAAAAGAGAGTAAAATAAGATCTATTTCTTATCATGAAGGGGATTGTGTATAACATGGGTGGGTAGTTATGAGTTTTAATGATGTCAATTTGCTAATTTGTTTAGCTATTAGTGGAATGTTACATATCGCGACAATGTTGATATAGAGTAAGGATTACACTCAATATTTTTTTCAATTTGATCCATTAACACAAATGCGACACGAAGATACATGATTCTAAACTTGACACATTGATAAATACGCATAATAAATAGATTGAATTAATGTTTGACACGTATAACAGATTAAATAAACTTTTTTTTAATAGATATTGATACAAACACGACACTAATTACAATGACATGACACCAAATTGAGCAATGTTACATGGATCTTAGTAACCTTGTTTGGTAACCTTATTATTTTCTACCATTAAATTAACAGTGGACCATACTATTAATTAGGATTCAATATCAATTCAATGACTATTATTATCTATTATGTCAACAAATAAGGTTGTTAAATTAATTACAAATAACATTTTCCTACAAAAATAGCAATACCCAAATGACGCGACACAACACTAATTGACATTGTGATCCATCAATTATGGTTCGGGTTTTATTTTGCTCCGTCAATTATTAAAATCCTCATGCTGCACATCAGCTAGATAACCCCAAAAATAAAAAATTCTACATGTTAGAACAAAGTTAAAAACTAAAAATAATAACATAGGAAAATAAAGTGATATCACTTTTGATTATTTTTTATTAATATTAACTATTAGAATAATGTGAAAATAATAATTATAATCTAAAGAGTAATATGAGAAATGTGATTGATTAGAGGAATATGTGAAAATAAATTCATAGTTGAGGATGTAAAAATGTACTACCCCACTCCGGCCACTTTTTTTTCTCGCGAATCACATTGGGTGTGTTTGGGTAGTGAGATAAAGGGGTTAACACCCATAAAAATAGGTAAATAAGGTAGTGGGTCTCATTTTATTCTTTCTTTGAAAAATATTTTTTGAGGCTGAATAACAATCTTGGGCAAGCGTTGACCCGGTTATTATAGTAGCATTTAACCCCCATAGGCCAGTTTCAATTAACCCCCCCCCTCCCAAAGACGTATTTTCCCGTCTCTCTTTTTCCACCCACTCACCTACTCATCCCTCTCTCCTCTCCTGAGCTCATCAACAACAACCACTCATCCTTCTCTCTTTCTTTGGCACTCAACCGATCAGCCCTCTTTTTTTCTCATGAGCTCATCCAAGGGTTCTGTTACACAGAGGCAAAGACGATCATGGCATTCGGCGAAGAAGACAACATCGCTGGGTGAGTGCTTCTTCACAGAGTTGACGAAGAAAATGGTTGCTAAGTCGACAATCTGGATCGCTGTCAGTTGCTGGTTCAAGATCAATGTTGGTTGCCTTCTGTGAGGAAGAAGACAGTCTTGATTGCTAGTAAAGATCGTGATCATAGGAATAATGTTGTTGATTTTGGGAGATTTTGAAGGATTAAAGCCAAATTGTATAGAAGTAAGATTTATTGCTTCATTCGAAAACACTAAGCCCAAGTCCAGATTAATGTTTTGCAAAATGGGGGAAGGTAATATGAATATTCAGAGGAAATTTATATGATCAAAGACAATATACATAACTGGTTCACCCTAGTCAAAAAATCAAGACTACGTTTATTATAAAGGAGGCTCTTACTCCGTAGGGTTCATATTTGAAGAAGGTTACAGTAAATTCCTTAGCTTAGAGCTTTTCTGAACAATGTCTTGTGAATAAAGGTTTTTCGAGTGGTGTTCAATTTATATAATGAGTTATCTAGAATTTTCATATCAGAGAATATATGTTTGTTAGAGACTCCATAAGTTGTCCCTGGTCCCTTGGACACACAGTGCAATGTGGAATATTTGGGATCTGGTGAGTATCAAGGATCTCAGGCTGCTTATCACTGAGCTAGTTATGATCGATTAGGGTTGTGCCGAGTTGAGATCCCTTTTTTAGATTATGGCACATTCCTTATTGTGGGGTAGATGGGTCTCTTGGGCCGTTATGCACCCATTGGGCCCATTAGATGATTTGGATTTCACGATAGGCAGTTCATTTTAAAATCTTATCGTTACCTCATATATATATATATTAATAATTACCCGTATCTGAAGGCACTTTGAATGAACAAAAAAATCTTAAACAATTGTCCATACTCAAAAGTATTAAAGGACACAAAAAATCTCTAATAAAAAAAAATTATGCAATGGAACTATGCTTGATTCAAATTCAATGTTAAATCAAATACATCACTATACATGGGTTTATTGCAATTTTGATTGACAACCCAAAATAATTGAGAACAAAATAAACACTACCTAAGAATTAGAACAAAAAAGAAACAGTGTTTTCTTACAAAAAGTCACTAAAATTCCAATGAACATTTATGTAGCTTAACAATGGGTACTGCTCATACAACAACCCTCGTCCCCAAACTCCTTTGATAACATTTCAAATGGCCATCAACCCTTCTCCACAAACTCCTTTGTCAATCTCTCATGCACCTCATTTTGTTGTCACGGGGCTTCCCCCATTGAATATGTATCTTCATAGCACATGCCTCCTACTTCGCTTGGAATAGTTCAATATACCTTTAAAAAAAAGTGCTAATGAATTTTTCAAATATAGTTGCAAATATTTTTTCTTGAACAAATTGCACTAAAAAACAGACAAATTTTAAAAATCCATATCGAATTGTCCAAACATCAATTGGATATATACCCCATACATTGCACCGGTATATATGAACCCCAAATATACGTTATTTGCACTCATAGTTGAAACAGTCAAACCTTAATTGCTAGTAAACCCATCTCAATCCATCTAGAGTCAAAAAATCACTAAAAATATATATTTTCCAGATCTACTGGCAACCCACAATGATGCATTTAGTGACCAAAGACAATTGTGTCAATCCTCTCACTCTATGGCTTGAGCAATTCCAATATTTTTATAGGAGCAATGTTATGTTACATGAGCAATGGTAACAGCTAATAAGCATTTTCACTCACATATGCACACTCATCAATTATCCGTTTTCATCTTTTTCTCATATAACCTAATAGAAAACTTCATTAGAAATGGAAATTACAGCTCATCTAGGAATACAAACCTTTTAGTTGGGCTTCAATGACAACATAGCTAGTATAAACCAATCATGCATGATTAATAGAAGATGAAGCTCTCCAATTGCATCGCATAGCCATCTATTCCAACCTTCCATGGTATGTACAATGTCTAAAAGTACCACACTACATGATCATGAGAATGATGATCACCTGCATCTAATGAGATTTAGATAAGTGGCAATTACAAAAGTCTTATGATCATTTCTCACTATATCAAGCAAATAAGATAGAACTTCCTTACTTCTACAACAACAATTCTGAAGCACATGTTAGGGCCACATGCAGGAGAAAAAAATGAGGATCACTGTGTTGAATTCAATTTAGTTGTTTACTTAAGTTCTTTTGGAGTCCATGGATCTTTGGCCAATAAAAAATTCAAATTAAACCATCTAGAAGTCGAATTATAAGATGTATGAGCTAACATACAAAACTAAAACAACATACTTCAAACGAAATTNGAAGGTAATATGAATATTCAGAGGAAATTTATATGATCAAAGACAATATACATAACTGGTTCACCCTAGTCAAAAAATCAAGACTACGTTTATTATAAAGGAGGCTCTTACTCCGTAGGGTTCATATTTGAAGAAGGTTACAGTAAATTCCTTAGCTTAGAGCTTTTCTGAACAATGTCTTGTGAATAAAGGTTTTTCGAGTGGTGTTCAATTTATATAATGAGTTATCTAGAATTTTCATATCAGAGAATATATGTTTGTTAGAGACTCCATAAGTTGTCCCTGGTCCCTTGGACACACAGTGCAATGTGGAATATTTGGGATCTGGTGAGTATCAAGGATCTCAGGCTGCTTATCACTGAGCTAGTTATGATCGATTAGGGTTGTGCCGAGTTGAGATCCCTTTTTTAGATTATGGCACATTCCTTATTGTGGGGTAGATGGGTCTCTTGGGCCGTTATGCACCCATTGGGCCCATTAGATGATTTGGATTTCACGATAGGCAGTTCATTTTAAAATCTTATCGTTACCTCATATATATATATATTAATAATTACCCGTATCTGAAGGCACTTTGAATGAACAAAAAAATCTTAAACAATTGTCCATACTCAAAAGTATTAAAGGACACAAAAAATCTCTAATAAAAAAAAATTATGCAATGGAACTATGCTTGATTCAAATTCAATGTTAAATCAAATACATCACTATACATGGGTTTATTGCAATTTTGATTGACAACCCAAAATAATTGAGAACAAAATAAACACTACCTAAGAATTAGAACAAAAAAGAAACAGTGTTTTCTTACAAAAAGTCACTAAAATTCCAATGAACATTTATGTAGCTTAACAATGGGTACTGCTCATACAACAACCCTCGTCCCCAAACTCCTTTGATAACATTTCAAATGGCCATCAACCCTTCTCCACAAACTCCTTTGTCAATCTCTCATGCACCTCATTTTGTTGTCACGGGGCTTCCCCCATTGAATATGTATCTTCATAGCACATGCCTCCTACTTCGCTTGGAATAGTTCAATATACCTTTAAAAAAAAGTGCTAATGAATTTTTCAAATATAGTTGCAAGTATTTTTTCTTGAACAA